TTCCATTAGAGCTGAGACGCCAGCAAAGAGCTTTTTGGTGTAGGAATTAACTCCTTCTCAGAGCCCGTCCCCCAGCTCTGCCCTTGCGGGTGCGTCTCCACCCTCCTCCTCTTCCTCCTCCTCTTCTTTCTCCCCCAGGGCTGTGGGATGAAGGCTCCGGGGCACCACTGAACCCTAAACACGGGGGACAGCCGTCCCAAAGGAATGCTCCTAGAGAGCCAAAGTGACCCTAAATGGGCAGCAAAGGGGAGATAGGGGCAAGCATCTGATCCGAGGTGCTGAGCAGGGATCAATCAATGGTGGATGCGCCCACAGTGTCACCAGTGTCACAGCTCGGAGCTGTCAGCTTATCACATTTGATGTGACATCGGCTGGGGGGGACGGTGGTGGCAGTGCTGCAGCTGGGGCTGCAGTCTGTGGGGTGGGTGCTCGGTCCTCTTCCATCCCTCATGTAACGCTTTGGGGGGGTGACACCATTCTTGGTGGCCCCGGCATCCTCCCAAAAGCAAAGCACAGCACTGGATGCAGCTCCTGCCCTGCACTGCGGGCTCAGGCTCTGTCCTCACACAGGGTTTGGGTCTGCTTCACACCCCGGCCAAGGCTGGGTGCCCTCGTTGTCCCCAGCACTGCGAGCTCTGGGGACCTGCAGCCACCTGAGCAGGCTGGGAGCACCTCATGGGTGACGCAGGCACACGGAGGAGATGGGGATCTGAGCTGGATGCCACCCTGCAGTCACCTCCTGGCACCAAATGTCCCCAGGTGAGGGGCATCCTTGTGGAATCCTCTTGGCCCTGAGTGGCTCCCATCACCTGCAGGAGGTGACAACTTCCAGCCTTGCCTTGGCCGAGGAGCAGGGACGGCTCTGACCCACGCAGGGGCTGAGGTTGGGGTGTCCCTGGCACAGGAGCTCCCCCGGCATCCCAACACGTGGCCACCCATGAAATATTCAGGGCCGTTTGGTGAGATTTCCGTGTCGGCATCGAAAGTGCCATGAATATTTCAGGCTGCATTAAAGTTTTATGGCCGCCGTGCTTCGGCGCAGCCCCACGGACCGCAGGAAGCCCCAACTCCAGGCTGCTTCAGCTTCAGTGAACCATTTCCCTTCTGTTTTACCCCCAGAATGGCAGTGATGCACCGTGGGCTCCCTATACCTGTCCACAAGGAGCAACGGTGGTCGCAAGAAGTGGCTCACAGCCCCCCAGCTCCTTCCAGAGGGTCTCATCCTCCACACCACGAGTTTTCCAGGTCAGCCCCCACCAGAAGGCATCGCTCCTCCAGCTCTCCTCTCCTCCCTTGTTTATATAACGATGACATCTCCTGCAGGCCGGGGAAGAGAATGGGCCGGGGAAAATAATGAGGATAATTGGAGTCATTTGGGAAGAGGCCGTTCGCGAGGTGCCCCGCGTCTCCCACCTTTTACATGTTGTCTCTAATCGCCCGCAATCTCAGCTGCCCATTGCCGGAGCCCCGTTGCTGTGGCGACCGATGAATAGCCCCCAAAAAGTGCCATCCTTCCATCACAACAACAACAACAAAAATATATCGTTCTGTTCAGGAAATTAAGCAGTTTGCAACCAAAGAGCAGCTTGTGAAAGGGCTCCTGCGTCCTCTCTTTCCTCCCGGCGCCCCGGGGAGCGCTTTGTGCACGGCGGACGAGGAGGAGGTGGTGGATCACAGAGGGGTTTCTGACCCACGGAACATATGGAGAGGGTTTGGATGCCTTCTCCCCCCTCTTCTCTCCCCCAGATGTGTGTCACTGAGGCGGGAGGGGCCGGCGTGGCTCTGGGTCAATGTGTTGGCTGGGGGAGATGGGAGCAGCATAGGAGGCAGAGGGGATGCACAGGGCAGGGGGTTGGGGAGGGTCCCTGCTTTGGGATGCAGCACCCCTGCTCTGCAGGCACACGCTGTGTGCATTCTCCTCAGCAGTGCATGCTGCTGCACCGGCCCTCTGCAGGCGTTCTGAGGTGTGGTTTGGTCCCTGCTTACATTCAGTGCTCCCCAACGCTTCCCTCCGGGTGGGATGGGAGCAGAGCTGCGTTCCCCTCACATCCCACAAAGGATCGGGGAAGCAGAGCCCTGTTTTACTGACAGCCTGAGAGAGCTGCTGGGGTGCAGCGCTTGGTGGTGGGAAAGGGGGGGAGAAAAGAGCAAAAGGGCCACGGTGCCACGGCTGCAGCTCCTGGACGGGCAGAACTTTGCCGCTGCCCCCTGGGCTCAGCAGGAGCCAGATGGAAGCACATCTTGCTGCACAGAAAGCGGGCCGTGGAGATTAACTCTGCTGGGAAAACAAGCTCAGCAGGCGCTGCCAAGCAGAGGATGCACACACGGGTTTGTGTGTGTGTGTGTGTGTGTGTGTGTGTGCAGGGGCCACGCATGTGCAGCTGTAAGCACTTGCATGCGTGCTCCTGTATGCACAGTCAAGCTGGAAAGGCTTGGAAATCTGTCCTCGTCCTTTAATTGTGCTGCTTTGATAACAGGGATAATTGGCTAGCAATCAATACTGTTTTGCTCCTGGTTCTCCTGCCCCTCCTCTCGCAGCTCTCCCCTCCCCGCACGCCTTGCTCCCCCAGGTGGAGTGACATTTCTGTGCTGTGTGGCAGGCATTAGATAACCCAGAGATTGGCCTTGGAGGGGGCTGACTGCAGCCCCTCTGCGGGCAGGGATGGGCTCCAGGTGGGAGGCGAGGATGCTCCAGCAGCAGCAAGACCACAGTGGTGACCACAGCACGTCTGGGGACAAGGGAGAGTGGGACAGGGAGGGCGCAGACCCAGGCTGGGTCGGCATGCTGGGGAAATGCCTCACGGCTCTGCTCAAGGTGCCTTTACCACCCCTCTGAGACCCCCAGCTCGCACCCCAGGCTGGAAGCGGGGTGATGAGGGAAAGCAGGAAGGGATGGAGACGGAGGGGGCGAGCGGGAGCCTGGTGCCATCTGGTGGCGGCCTCGCTGCGCTCGTGGCCTCCACCAGTCCCCGTCCCGGCTCCCCCAGTAGCTGGGTGGGCTCGGGCTGCTGCTCTGGGTGTCACCTGTCCGTGTCTGTCCCAGCAGGAGGGCGCCTGGTACTGCCCGACCCAGCTCTTCCAATGGGGATGGAGGCTCCTGCAGGCACCCAGCACAAACTCTTGCTCTCGAAGGGCTGTCCAGGGGTGCTGGATTCACACCTGTGCTGCGATGCAGCGGCCTGAGGACACCGGGATGTGGCTGAAATCCTTGCACAGGAGCCAGGGAACGACTTGTTCAGTCCTTCAGCCTGTGCCGTGCCAGCAAATAAATCAAACAGCACCAAGATCCCTTTGTAGGCTGGAAACGGCCCCATAAGGTGCCTCTGGGAGCTCAGAGCCCCGTGAGCATCCCCAGGGCAAAGCCTGGCTTTGGTATACTGAAGAGATGCAGTAACCCTGAACCAGCACGCCAATTAGGGCTAACCCACAAATGTTTTAATAGTTGCTGGGACAGGAAGAAGGTGAGAAGATGAACATCCCTCTGAGCGTAGCGGTGGCTTCTCAAGGGCTCCTGCTGCTTGCCTGCACCCCTGGCCAGGGATTTATCCAGGTCCACCCACAGGAGGCACCCACAAAGTCAGGAACAGGAGAGCACTGTCAGGAAGGAGCTGCACCCTGGGCACAGCCTCACAGACAGACAAACCTTGCAATACCATGTTGTGACAATACCCAAATGTGGTTCAGAGAAGAGCAGCAGGGATGATCTGCGGGCAGCAGCTGGAGACTGCCAGGGCTCTGTGTAGCTCATTAAGGAGCAGCGTGACCGCTGTTATCCAACACAGCAGAGGGAAGAGCTTGCCTGCTCCGGTGCTCTTTCTTCTCACGAGGAAGCAGAACAAGAACTGGGAGCTGGTGTTGGACAAAGTCACAGAGCTCGGTGGCAGCCAGTGCTTGTTGCTCCTTGGCCTGCTCCTCACTGTGTGACGGAAGCATTGCAGCGTGTGCTGGTCTTCGGAGCACCCCAACATCCTTTTTTGTCCATAGACCAGCAGCTCCTTGACCTGTTTGGGAACAAATAAACTTTGTATTAACCCTGCATCACAGCATAAACGCACAGGGGAACCTGGGGGAACGGCTCTCCCCTCATAACTCAGGCACTGTGTTCTGGCCCTATACCTGTGACAAGGGCTCAGCATCACCAGCCCTTTCCTGCAGCTGCCACAGACGGGCTGACCCTCACTCCCCTCCCCTACAGCCAATGCTCCAGCCCCTGTAGCAGCAGGGAGGGATCCTTACGGCTGAGGAACCCCAGCTCCTACAGCTTATGGGGCTGCCACACTCAGGCCGCAGGAAATGGGGTTCCCAGCCCCATAGCAGGAGGTCCCCGGCCCACTCCCTACAGCCCCGGCTGCGTCACAGCCCTCATCTCCAGGGCAGGGGCGGCTCCGTGCCCGTACAGAGGAACACCAACAGCCGGCGGTGTCCCCAGGCGTCCCCCCGTAGCGGGCCGCCTCCCATAGGGCTCACCCCACGCCCAGACCCTCCGCCCGGGGGTCCCCGGCCTTCCCCTCCCACCCCGTCCCGCCCGGCCGGGCCCTCCCCGGGGGAGGGCGCTCGGGGGCCGCGGTCCCGCCGCCTCGTTCCGCCATGTTTCCCGGCCGCTCGCCCTGCCCGCCGCCCGCCTGAGCCTCCCGGCGGCCGCCCCCGGCCCGGCCAGGCCAGGCCCGGCCCGGCCCGGCGGCCGCCCGCCAGCTCCGGTGAGTGCGGCCTGCTCCGCCCAACCCGCGGCCTCCGTG